CGTCCCGGCGGGCGGGCACAGGCCCGCGGCAGCGCTGCCCGTGCGCGCGGAGGCTCCGCAGCGGAGCCCGAAACCCGGCTAGGGTTCCGAGTGTCGGCCGGGGAGAGGAGGAGTCACTTGTCTAAGGCTGGTGTGTTTGGTTCAGAAGGTAGGGAAAGTATCCATGGAGGGGGTCTTCGCTGCAGTAGCGTCTCTAACTGAAATCCTCTCGCGGAGACGATCTTAGTGAGGCCTCTTCAGCTGGCGCCGAAGATAGGTCGCTCTGAGCTGCTTTGCGGTCAGGAACAGTCGCTCTGCTACCGGGAGAGTTAGGGGTGAGCAGATAGGTGCCTTTGCTGTTGTGGCTTTTAGAGAATTTGAAGGGGAGGTCGAAGAGGTAGGAGTGCATTCTTATCTGTGCCCTGAACAGCGAGAGGTGCCTTAGGTAGCTGAGCCTCTCGTCTTAGTTGATGCCGTGAATATTAATTACATTATTCAGAATTGATTTTAATTTTAGCTTTTCGAACTGTTCGTCTCGCCTTGACAGTGTAGGGTCAGAGCATAACTCTCAATTTTACCTCGCGCTGTAGCTTTCTGCTCTACTCCAGCGCGTGTTTCTCTGTCACCGCCGTGTGTCATTCGCTCGTGCCCTGGCGTGGCTCGTAAGTCACCACTGGCTGGGTGCCCCGTTTTCACAAGTGGTGTGCAGCTGAGGGCCTTGTCTCCTTCAAGTTACCTTACCCACCTTCCAGTTGGGTCTTTGTTCAGGACCAGTCTTGGTCAGTACTGACTTGGGGCGTTAGTAACTTACACATTATATTGCAGCCACGGTTAACTGCCTTCTTGCAGGAGCTGCTGACACCTGACTGTAGATAAAATTCCTTTCAGAACATAGGAACGAACCCTTGCTGGGCGAGGTGGCTCACATCTGTAATCCCAGCGCTGAGGAGGCTGAGGCAGGAGGATCGCTGAGAGTTTGAGGCTAGCCTGGGCTGAATAGTGAGTTGAAGGCCAGCTTGGCCTACGGAGCAATACCCTGTTTTAAAAAACAAAACAAAAACCCTAACCCATTTATAGGGACATACATGCTTGGCCCGTTCTTTCCAACTATGATGGTCCCACCCACACACACAGCCAGCACCTGGAGCTGGATTACCAAATGTGTGCGCTCCCCTCCACATTCGGTCACAGTGAAACACAGCGCTGCCTTGCATCTCTGCAGGTGTAGGCAGCTTACCCTTCCCATCCGGGCACCTCTGCTGTGCTTTGCCCTCCTGGAATAGTTAGCAGAGTTGCCATGCCTCCTGCTCTTTAGATGTTTTGTGGTTTTTTTTGGTACCAGGAATCGAACTCAGGACCTTGCGCTTGCCAGGCAGGCTCTGTGCCACTGGCTATATCCCCGGCCCACCTCCTGCTTTTTATGCCCGGCCAACCGCAGTCTCATTTATGCCGACCCCACCTCTCCCCGAGTACTGTTTACCTTTTCAGTGTACCTGTTAGGCCCATCCTCTGACGAGCCGCCCTAACAGACGTCATTTGGCAAGCCACCCTGTGCTTCTCTTCTCCCCTGTGCTTCCCAGCACATCGCATTAGAGACGCTGTTTCTTCAGACCTCGTGCAGAGGCCGGGCATGGCGGCGCAGGCCTGTAACCCCAGGACTCGCCGAGGCTGAGGCAGGAGGACTGCCCTGGGTTTGAGGCCATCCTGGGCTACATAGTGAGACTCTGTCCACGAAACAAAACAAAACAAAACAAAAAAAAAATCCTGTGCAAATCCTAGCTCTCAGAAACATCAGGACAGGCTGTAGTATTGCTTTCCCTGGCTGCCTTCTAGAGGTTAAATTACTATTTCAGCTGGCCTTTCCTAGGCAGGAACTTTCTAGCCAGAAAACACCACCTAATGCTACTCTGGAGCCTTAGGAACTCTCCCCGAACCTGAGCGCATGCAGGTCAAGCCTGCCTTGCTCCAGAGCGCCGGGCGTTTGTTAGCCTGCCGCAGACTTCACGTGTGCGGAAATCCTGGAGTCCGTGACGCTCACCCAGGCAGAAGAGGTTCCGGGGAAGTGGTCAGGGAAAGCGGGGATAAAGACGAGTGTGCGAGACGTGCACGCAGCACCCCTGGGATAGGAAGCTCGGGTGAGTGGCCTGTCCGCTGTGCGTGTCTCCTTCAGGCTGCATTATTCATAACGTAACTGAAGCTGGAAGCTGGGGCAGGGAGGGAAGAATAGAAAACCCGGGATTCGCGTTACAGTGTGGCAGGTGCTGGCCCTGGGAAGTGGCCCCGTCTACCAAGAACCCCTGGCCATCCCAGACTGCTTGTTTTGTGCATCTGAGGTGGAAAAAAAGTTTCAGTGACAGACGGAGCAACAGCAAATCTGTCTCACGAAGCTCAGCAGACAGACTTTCTGACGCACTGAACCTCGGTTTCAGAGCGAGGGTGTGTGCCGAGCCTGGCATGCAGGAATTCTGGATGTGCCAGGTGCGTTTGGCCGCTTGGCTTCCCTGAAAGGGAAGCGGCTCTGCTTTGTGCTGTGGCAGTTGGCAAAGGACTTTGACCTCTTTATGTTCCAAGCTGGACGGGGAAAACTGCAGTCTCAACACGCAGGTCCCCAGCCTAACCAGCGGGCGGTGACTTCTCACTGGGCGCTCGACCTGGGGCAGGCATGGTATTTATGTAAAGTGCCTTGTCGCTTGTCCTCGCCAAATACTGCTGTAAAGTTCAAAAGTGAGGCTATTAATAGAACCGTCAGTCAGGAGAGATTGGGGAAATTTTTACACCAGCCTGCTCAGTGCAGATCTGCTGAATCTCCTCTAGCTATTAATAGGATGGCTTGGGAGTTCCCACCCGTGGAAGTCCGTGGTCCTACAGAAAAAGTATATTCCAGAAAGGTTAAAATGCCTGGTGATTCTTTTGTGATTATTCTTTTCTGTACTCTGCCCAGCATTGGTTATTTGTATTTCGTATCACTTGATCCCTAGCTGATATTTAATAGTGTAAGCACATCAGGGTGCCTTTTTTACACTTGTGCAGTGTAATCGAAGCTTGGTGTGACAGTTCTCGTCGGGCTGATTTACAGTGAGGGCGATGGTTCGGTATGTCTGCGAAGTAGAGCAGTCTTAAGTGAGTGTGCAAAATTGTGTTGCAGGGAGACATGCAGCACTTTATAACTTGCGGCTAGGAAGTGTGCCTTGACCGCACAGGACGGGCGGGAACGTCCTACATCTTGGCTGCAGTGGGGGTGAGGCACAAGTGGATACACTTGTGAGGCTTCGTTTCCTTGCACCCTTGCGATTGCAGGATTAATCCTGCATGTCGTTCAGCTCAGGGAAGCCTGCTTGTAAGAAACTAATAGTGAGAGGAACCAGGGCCAATAAAGCCTGACTCAGAAACAACCCTAGTAGCTTCAGGAAGGGGTTCTCTACTGTTCAGGAGGTTGTTTAAAGGAGATAAAACTAGAGTTGTTGGTTCCTGAGAGTTCCGTTTTTCAAAGGGCTTGGAGTTAGGAAAAGAAATGGGGCGTGATGAAAGGTGAAGCCTGCGTCACCTTGGTGTCCCCTGCCCCTGTCTCCTGACGGCAGGTCGAAGGCAGAAATGAGGCACACCTGCCGCGGCACCATCAACCTGGCCACGGCCAACATTACCGTGGAGGACTCCTGCAACTTCATCATCTCCAATGGGGGTGCGCAGACCTATCACCTGAAGGCCAGCTCAGAGGTGGAACGGCAGCGCTGGGTGACGGCCCTCGAGCTGGCCAAGGCCAAGGCTGTGAAGATGCTGGCAGAGTCAGGTGGGGACAGAGGCCACCGTGTCACCTGCAGTTGTAGGTCTCAGCCAAGGCCCATGGTCCCCGAGCCCAGCCCCGGCGGGGTGTGGCAGCGTCTGCAGACCTTTTCAGTTGTTGGCATGAAAAGCAAGCGCTAGTTTGCTGTTTCGAAGACAGTTTTCCAGCCCTGTGCTCTCATGCACTTGCCTTTAATGCCAGTGGATACCTCAAAATTTGGGGACATAATTACTTGCCAACTAGGTCAGTATTAAGATTATTATAAGTCATAGTTTAGATTTATCCATGTCTTTTTCCGGTGCTCTCTTATTAGTTAAGTTGAAAAAATCTTAATGGACAACCAAAAAACTGTGTATGTGGTGTTTTTTGTTATTTTTTTCCTTTTTTGTTTTTTTTTTCCGGTACCGGGAATCAAACTCATGACCTTGTGCTTGCCAGGCAGGCGCTGTACTGCTGAGCTAAATTCCCAGCCCCGTATGTAGTGTTTTCTATGCAGAATTTTCATTTTGCTAAATTAGTCACTTAAAAGAACAATCTGGTTCTGTTTGATTTTTCTTTAAGGAAAATGGTAGGATTTGCCTCTGAAATGTTAGGTGTCTCCTCATACTGAGCCTGCTCACTCAGCTGCTGACTTTTGTTTCTTTACTTTATTATCTGTCGTTTCACATTATATATTTAATGTCTGCTGAGCAGTGAAAGGAAACTCACTGCTTTGTAAATTTTTTTTTTTTTTTCCTTTTTGAGACAGGGTCTCTCTATGCAGTTCAGGCTGGCCTTGAGCTCACTTTGTAGCCCAGGCTGGCCTCGAACTTGCAACAATCCTCCTGCCTCAGCCTCCCGAGTGCTGGGATTACAGGCATGCGCCACCACGCCCGGCTGCAATTTTTTGACAGTCAGTTCTGCTTGACTTTGACCACATCTGTCTAGCAAATAGGGCAGGTCTTCTTATTTCTTTTGTTTTGGTTTCAGGGCTGATGTTAGTGCCCCCAAAGGAAGTGACACTGCTAGAAAAGCACTTTGCAGCTACAAAGTATTAAGTGTGCAACGATAGCAAGAGACACAATGCAGCTTCCCTCTTGAGTTGTTATGGGGGAGCTGTGTGGTATAAACCACAGGTGTTCACTGCTGGTGGCCTGCAGACCACGCCTGGAGAAGCGGCTGGCCTCCGCAAGCCGGGAGCCAACCAGCGCGGAGCCCGAGGAGCGGTGCTTTGCGGGTGGGCACAGTAGAAAGCGTCCAGGCTCGAGGCCTGGTCCTGCAGTCACAGCTCTCTTGGTCTCCCTGCAGATGAGTCAGGAGATGAGGAGTCCGTCTCCCAAACCGACAAGACCGAGCTGCAGAACACCCTGCGGACCCTGTCCAGCAAGGTGGAGGACCTGAGCACGTGCAATGACCTGATAGCCAAGCACGGCACAGCCCTGCAGCGCTCCCTCAGCGAGCTGGAGTCCCTCAAGCTGCCGGCTGAGAGCAACGAGAAGATCAAGCAGGTCAACGAACGGGCCACGCTGTTCAGGATAACGTCCAACGCCATGATCAACGTGAGTGCGCGCTGTCTCCGCTGCTTTCCGTCTTTGCAACCCCTCCCTCCCTGGACTCTTACCTCGCACTCGCTAAGGCACAGAACCTCAGTCCTGCTTCCTGCTCGGGGCTTCAGGGTGCATTGTGTGCTGCGTGAAACGGGAGGGACCACACACATGGAGTGGCTCGCACGCACAGCCCAAGCCATCATGTCCTGACATAGCCTAGGGCTGCTCAGCAGGCCGGAGTTCCGGCCGCACCTCTGCCACGAGCGGGACGCTGGTGCACATAGGGAATCCCTGTGGCTGTGGTTTTAATCTACAGTGGTGCCTCGGTTCACAACCTCAGTTCATTCCGGCCTTCTGGAAAAGATGGCCACATTCATGTTCCTGCAAGGAAGAGGGTGCGTCGAGCTGGTCCCCGATGCAGAACTCGCAGTCAGAAACAAAATGTTGCCGAGCATTTCTGTTTGAGAGCAGGTTGTTTGCAAACAGAAGCGTTCGCGAACCGAGGTACCTCCTGTCCCGCCCTTCAGCTTTGTCCTGGAGTCTCGTCCTGCTTGACTGCTGCGTTCTGCCCGTGGGGGGTGAGTGGGGGCTGCAGCAGGCACTGCTGAGCGCCCCATTGTCAGTGTTCGATTGCAGGGGTAACAAGTTGGTGAGATAGAATGCTCCCTCTTCCTGGACGCCTGTCCTTTACCAGGAGCACTGCCCTGGCTGCTTGTGATTCCGGGGAGCTGCTCGAGCGGAGGCTCCGGGTGAACAGCACCCTGGCGTCCCGGTTGTGTTGAGTGGCGTGAAATGAATACGAGGTCCCAGCAGTGCGTCCTCCCACTCCTGGTACCTGGTTCTCACCTGGCAAGTTGGGGTAGTTCCCTTGTCGTTTCGTAAGTGAGAAAGGTTTGCGGAGGGCTCTGTGCCCTCGCGCAGCTGGTTATCACCGGGAGCGCTTTACCCCAGCTGCTCCCGTGTGCCTTTTGGGTAGTGATTGCAGTGCCCTCTGTAAGACGCGTATTCAGATGAGCAGGCCGGCGCATCACAGCGCTAACCAGTAGAGCACAGCAAAGGAAGGAGGAGTACATTTCCTTTATTTTCTTGACTGCTGAGACTTTCTTGCTAGCAAAGTGAGTCTGAGAAAGTCACTTTGGCGAGGTCATTGTATTCGTTTGCTAATGAATTCATTTGCCTTGGTGTCCCACACTGCAAGAGGGGACATCCCTGATGCTAGCTGTGGTCCCTGCCCTCAAGATCCATAGGGAGGGCCGGGATATAGCTCAGCGGCATAAACGCTTGCCTGGCAAGCCTGAGGTCATGAATTTCATTCCCAGTGCCAAAAATAAATAAAATAAAATAAGATTGATAGGGAGCCGGGCATGGTGGCACACGCCTGTAATCCCAGCACTCAGGAGGCTGAGGCAGGAGGATTGTTGCTTGTTCAAGATGAGCCTGGCCTACAAAGTGAGCTCAAGGCCATCCTGAACCGCATAGTGAGACTGTGTCTCAAAAAGACTTAAAAAAAAAAAGTCTGTAGGGAGCCAAACTGCAGGGAAGGAAGTGGGTCCTCCGGGAGTGTGCTGAGTGCCGGGTAGAGTGAGCACGGCTGCCGTGGGAGAGACTGTGACGCTGTCTTGCTCTGCTTGCTCGGAGCAGGACAGCCAGGATCACCGAAAGCTCAGGGAGCCCTGGAAGCCTTCTGTGAAGAAAGGCTGTGGGTGGTCAGCATGGGTCGCTGCCTTCTCTGTGCAGCCCCCTTGTCTGCAGGTGGCTCGGTACCGGCAGGTCCCCTGAGGGACGCCATAGGCTACTGTTCAGGGCTCAGTGCGAGGGACTCTGCCGAGTGCCTGGCACGAGCTGTTTGGCGAACAGCATTGTGATGGGCAGCATTCCAAAAGAATGAGGGAAGAGGCTTCCCGGGGCGGAGTGCTCGCGTCCAGTCTCCGGTGCCGGAGGAAGTTTTTTTTCTTTGTTGTTTTTCTCTCCTTTTTGAGACAGGGTCTGGCTATGCAGTTCAGGCTGGCCTTGAGCTCACTTTGTAGCCCAGGCTGGCCTTAAACTTGCAAGGGTCCTCCTGCCTCAGCCTCCTGAGTGCAGGGATTACAGGCGTGTGCCAGCACCACGCCCCAAAGGAATGAGAGAGGTTAGGCGCAGGGGCAGCTGCGTGGCTCTCTCCTCCTCATGTGCTCCTGGAAACTGTGGCTGATTGGCTGTTAATGCCAGGAGGCTTTGGGTGGAGGGAGGAGAAGTGGGGTCTTTAGATTACAGGTGGATGGGGCCAGTTTGGGTGTGGGTGTGATCGGAAGAGCTGACACTTTCCTGGACGGGACTGTGAGCCTGCTGCGGTTCTGACAGCTTTCTGTAAACCCCAGCTCCTGGAAGTAGTTACTGTTACTTGTTTAGGGGTAAGGAAGAGGAGGCCCAGGGCAGTGAATGGCCAGAGTGTGGTCTGCACTGCTGCTGTCGGAGAGCGTGGCAGGGATGTGCAGGCTCCCTTGGGTTAGAGAAGGCTGGCGGGACTTGATCGCCGGGCCTGAGGGAGGAAGCAGAGCTGAAGGCAGGCTGGGTGTCCTCTAGGTTTCTGGCATGGGCGGCAGGGAGGGCTTGAATGGCCCTGGGCGGAACAGGGCAGAGAGGAGTCGTCTGCCTGGGAACACGGGTTGGGCTTGGGACCGAGGTTTCTGTGAGCCGACGAGGCGGGTGGGTGTGTGCTGTGCAGCTCAGCGTGGGGCTGGGGTCGCTGAGCGTGTAGCCAGAGAGGTAGCTGCCGTGGGGGCGGAGGTTCTGTTTACCTTTTCGTTTCTGTGACGGGAATAGACTTACACGCACAGTGTTTCCTTCTTCCTTTATTGAGCAGACTTTACCAGGCTTGGGCTTCGTGGAACCTGGTGTAGGAATAAGCCCTGAGGTGTGTGGTTAGTTCTGTCGTAATCCACCCGGAGAGAGAAAACCCAGTCACTTCCCCGCCGCGCACGTGTGAGAGGGAAGCGCAGGCACGGCGGGCAGCGGCCACAGTCGGACAAGGGAAGGCGACTCCTGCCCCGTTATTAAAAAGGGAGCTTTCTCCCTGGGCGGGAGGGCGGTCCGGGTGCAGTGGGCAGCGTGTGCGCGGGGACGCAGGCGTGTGTCAGTGTGTCCGAGAAGCGCGGCCGAGCCTGGGGGAGATCTCGGCGGCTGGGGCCGGGCCTCGAGGGCCCTCTGCCTGCGCAGGCAGCGGCAGCTCAGCCCCGCACCTCGCCCTGCGCAGAGCCAGCAGCGGCACTGGTGTGATCAGGTGGAAGTCTTTCTCTAGATTCCCTCTTTGGTTGCTGAAGTACCCTTCCAGTTTTTAAGGTCGAAAGCAGAAGTTTCCCTGTTTTTAATTCAGCGAAGATTCCCCGCTTCCACCGTGTGTTCCTCAGCTTTGGGTCGCTTGACTTCGTCGGGGTTCAGTGGAGGCGCTTTCCCTGTTCCTCCCTCCTGCAGTCCGCAGATCGCTTTCGGTGTATCGCACGCTCGGCTCCGCGGTGTTGCCGTGAATCCTGTTCAGGTGTGCTGCTCACTTGGTACTTGTTTGGAAAGGGCAAGAGAACCGCGACGACCGTGCTGTTTTCTGGGTTTGCCCTTGGGTGTGGCGCAGAGCCAGCTACCTGGTACGGTGGAGGAACAGGCCGTCCTTCCTTGTCATGTGCCGCCACGGTCCCGAGGGTAAGGCGATTAGTGGCTCCGGGAGGCCCAGGCAGGGTCCCTGACAGTCGGTGTTTCCCCGTGCAGGCCTGCAGAGACTTCCTCGTGTTGGCCCAGACCCACAGTAAGAAGTGGCAGAAGTCACTGCAGTACGAGCGAGACCAGCGGATCCGGCTGGAGGAGACCCTGGAGCAGCTGGCGAAGCAGCACAACCACCTGGAGCGGGCCTTCCGCGGGGCCACGGTGCTGCCAGCCAGCACCCCCGGCAGCACTGGGCCCGGGAAAGGTAAGGGGCCGCGCGGCTTCCTGCGTGCGCTGGCCGAGCCCGCGCTGTCCCCGCGCAGAGCACGTGCTCCCAGGCGGGCGGAACCGCAGCTCTCCGTTCCTTCTGGTTCTTCTCCCGCTTTCCACCCTCGGTTGCCGAGTCTGTGGCTTGTATACAAGAGCTGGCTGAGCCGGGCGGGGTGAGAATAGCCGGCGGAAACAAGCGAGGCTCCTCTCCTTGTAGATCAGGGCTGTGCTGGCAAAGGGGACATGAGCGATGAAGATGACGAGAATGAATTCTTCGATGCCCCGGAGATCATCACCATGCCTGAAAGTCTGGGCCACAAGTAAGTGACCTTGGCGGGTGAGGAGAGGGGCGCAACTGGTCAGCAGGGCGTGCGCTGCACCTCGCGTGGGGGTCGTTTGCCGTGCTCACGGAGCCAGGCGCCTGCCGTGAGCGGAGCGCTGTCAGCTCTTCCAGGACGAGCTCTGTGTGGTGCGTGCTTTCGCACCCATCCTCCCCGGGTGTCCTCTGGTCACCGCCGGTTAGTGGGCCTGGCCTTCTGCTCTGTGGAGCGCTCTTGAGGGCCACACCCGACTCTGGTCTCGGTTCTGATTCCCTGCCTTTTCTGTCCCTGCAGACGCACCGGCAGCAACATCAGCGGAGCCAGCAGTGACATCAGCCTCGATGAGCAGGTAACTTGGGCGGAAGTGTCAGAGGTGAGGGCGTGGGCTGTGAGTCCTAAGGACTTGAATTTGTGATGTGCTGAGGAAACAGCAGGTCCCGGTTTTTAAATTTGTTTTGCATAGGGGGAGAGTTGTAGCAGATTTTCTCTTCTTTGCGGGTGACTGATGACCATATTCTTGCTCTCAGTACAAGCACCAGCTGGAGGAGACCAAGAAGGAGAAGAGAACCCGCATCCCGTACAAGCCCAACTACAGCCTCAACCTGTGGAGCATCATGAAGAACTGCATTGGGAAGGAACTCTCGAAGATCCCCATGCCGGTGAGGTCCTTGCACACCTGGCCGCTGCCGTGAGGGCCCCCGGCCCCGCTGGCGAGACGCCGCTCCCCTGTGGAGGCGGCGGTCCCTTCTGCGTGTGCGGGTGTAGTGGTGGCGGTGGGTGTGGTGAGCCCCGTACGCCCAGACTCCACACCTGTGTCCAGTGACGGCTGCTCCTGCGCGGGGTCCTGTGCTCGGGCGCAGAGGGAGACGCGGCATCGTTTCTGTCTCTGAGGCGCGCAGCTTGGAAGAGACAGACGTGCCGATGGGTAAAAACAAATTCTCTGGACGTGTCGGGCAGTACGACCACACATGCGAAGGGTGCAGGGCACGGAAGCAAACACGTTACCCCAGCCCAGAAGCCAAGTCTGTCTCCGCGGTGACCATGGGGTTGGGGCTGACCTCCGGCCACGGGGCCTCTGGCCTTGCCACACCGTTCGAAAGTATCTTTTTTAAGATTACATGTGAGATCCTGTCCCTCAACTGGGAACCCTTTACTGGGTCTCATGCTGTGAGCCTAGTCCGGAGCCTGGGTGGGCTTGGGATTCCTTCCGTGGACTGGGCTCTGCTCTTTCTGCCTGAACCTTCTCCGGCTCCTCCCTGACCCTGGGCCCTTTGCTTTCGCTGTGGCCCAGACCGTTTACAGAAAGCCCTAGCTCCGCGAGAGGACGGGCCGCCTCTGCCCCGCGCTCCAGCGTGGCCCATTGTTCGCGTGTGGCGCTTACTCATCCCACAGGCATTTGCTGACTGTTTGCCTGGTGTTGGGCCAGCTGTACCGGTTAGGTCTAAGTTCAACCTGAAGACACAAGTCCAAATATGTTGGTTTAAACCAGGGGTCGGCAAACAAAGCCAAGAATGGTTTTTATATTTTCTAAGTTTTAACGGTCGACAGTAACCAAAAACGCATATACTTCTTGAGGTGAATGTCCAGGAGCCTTTTCTGGGACACAAAAAGTGCTCCTTCCCTCCTCCCTGTGGCGGCTGCCTTCCTGCTGCCCTGGCGCTGTTGCAGAGGTGCGACAGAGGCCACGTGGCTCTGGGCCCGGACTGTCCAGCCCCCTGGAGAGCAGGCCGGCGGCCCTGCCCTCACACGCCCAGGCCTGCTCGCTCTGGCGTGGGCGCTCAGGCGTGCGTGGGCCGGGGCCTTCTGCTCTTGGCCTGACCTGAGGACCCCGTTCTTGGCTCCACAGCAGTTGCTGTGTCCTGAGCCTTCGGGTCTCGCTGGTCCGCAGGAAGTGGGGAAAGAAGGTGAGCAGGCCCTGCCTTGGGAGGGCGCTGTCTGGAAACTTTGTAACCCATGGCCTTGGCGGCTGGAGGAAAGGCCGGCAGCGAGATCATGGGAAGCGGCTGCAGGTCTGTCCACAGCCGGGTACTTGGCAGGCTGAACTGCAGAAGCGTTCTTTCTACGCTGGTGATTTCTGCCTCTAAGCGGACTCCGGTCATCCCTGGCAGGCGCCGTGACTTACGTTCTCGTGTCCTGGTGCTCAGCCCAGTGCCTGCCCCCGGACACTGTTCTACAGATGCTGGAGTAATCATTTAACTGGGTCTTAAACCAAATGGGTGTTCATATCTAGATCTACAGGGTTCTTTTTAAAAAAATGCTGGCCAGGACTGGGCATGTAGCTCAGGGGGAAACGGCTTTCCTGGTATAAGCGAGGCCCTGGTCCATCCGCAGTGCCACCAAGTGACGGCAGACGAGAACAGACCGTGAGTCAGCTCACAGGACAGCAGTGGGCGCATGGGCGCCGACAGGCCCCGCTCGCCCGGAGTCTGAGACGAGATGTCTGGAGGACGTGCGGGCAGGCAGAGCGGGGGCGTCACGGCCTCAGGAGCGTGGCACTTGGGATGCGGAGCCCCCCACCCTCCCGCTAGTCCCCAGTTGACATCGCTGGGAGAGCGCAGCAGGTGCCCGTGTGCCCGAGCCTGCCCCTGCCCCTGCCCACCGCGGGGGATCGCAGGAAGCCAACTGCGGTTGTGTGCAGGCTTTGGTCTGCCGGAGGCTGGCTGGGCCCCTCCGCACAGCCACGGGGAGACGTGCTGGGGCGGCTGGGCGCCCCCTGGGCCTGTCTCTGCCAGCCTGCGGGAGCTTTAGCAGGGCCTCCTCATCCCACTTCAAGGCTTTGGCTTCCGCCAGGCCCAGCCGCTGGGCTGCGGGACACCACTGCTCCTCTTCGCCTCCCTCTTGGCTCCCTGCTCTCGCCGGTCTCCAGGCCACCCTGTGGGGCTGCGGCCTCTCTGCGCCTGGACAGCTGCTTCCCTGGTGCCTTGCCCTTGCGCTCCTAGATGCCTTTGTCTCCCGCCTTGGCCTCTGCACGATAAGTGACCATTGTGAAAGCCTGGTGCCCTCAGAGACGCGGGTTCCTGGGACGGAGGCGGAAGGCAGGGCTGTGTGTGGAAGGCAAGGCTGGGTGGAGGTGCTCTGCCCTGGTCTGGGCCTGCTGGTCCGTCTGGGGCCGCTGGTGGAGAGCAGCTTTCTCCAGCTCCCTCAGGGCGTGCGGGCGCCTCCCTTCACAGGCCTGAGCTCTGTCCCGAGCGGCTTTATTGGCGTGGTTAATAAGCGCTCTCGGGCCAGGGCTTCATGCTTTTACGTGGCTTCCTCGGCGTCTGGAAGGCGGTTTGGGGGTGAGGCACCTTGTTTGTGTAGCTACACTCCCAAGGGTGAGCTCTAGAGCTGGTCCTGTAGCTCTTCGTTAGTGTAAAAAGGTGCACAGAAAAGCAGGCGATGGATTTCTTAGACCATGCAGGCCCTGTTAATGCTTTTTAGATACGTAAGCACATGCAAATGAGAAAATCCTAACAGTGGCTAAGTCAATCTTTTTCTTCATCCTTTGCTAAAAACGAACTTTTCTAGTGAAAATTGTCAGAGTGACTTTATAGTGGAGAGGTGACAGTAAATATCACAATCTGCAGCTCAGGAGTTGGTAGGTAGAAAGTTGGACAGAAGTGAAGAAGGAGGAGAAGTGTCTGAAAGAAAAGTGGTGTTTTTTAATCTACCTGAAATGCTGCTTAAGGCCAGAACTACTCAGTAGAAGGAAATGCTTTCTTTTCCTTTCTCTGTTGTTTTAGACTTTGTTTTATTTTCTTTTTTTTTTTTTGTCTTTTTGAGACAGAGTCTCACTATGCAGTTCAGGCTGGCTGTGAGCTCAGTTTATAGCCCAGGCTGGTCTTGAACTGAAAACGATCCTCCTGCCTCAGCTTCCCGAGTGCTGGGATTACAGGTGCACCACCACCCCCGGCTGTTGTATGGACGTTGAACTCACACAAAGTGATGTTCAGGCTCATGCAGCTGTGCTGTTGATTATATAAAGTGGGCGAGCTTGGGAACCTAACTTCTTATAGTGCAGCTTTGTAATTAGTAAAATCATTACATATTTTCAGACGTTCCCTTAGAAGCTTTTTGGCATGTGGATTCCAAGGTGGTGGTATGAATAGTGACGTGAATCCTGTCTCTCTGGTTGGATACTCTATGCCCAGGGGGTAGCACGGGCCTGGCACCTTCGAATGTTCAGGTCGTGCTGTGCGGTGAACATTTGCCGATTGAAAAAAGACGCGCGCGCGCACACACACACTTCATCTAGTGGGCGAGTGCCCTAAGCTGGCTGTACCCCTTGAAAGGTGTGCACGTGCACAGCACTCTCAGCCCCGCCACGAACATTCCACGTCCACAAACGACAGTCCAGATCTGGGAGACCTCGGAATCCTGGCCTCCTCTGGAGCTGTGCTGGGTCAGCAGTTGTCCGGTCCAGGGTAGAAGCTAACCTTAGTAACCGTTCAGTAGTCAGGTCATGCTTGCACTTACAGTTGACTGTCCGGGCCGGGCGTGGTGGCGCACACCCGCATTCGCAGCACGTGGGAAGCAGGCTTTCTGATCCAGGGGCCAGCCTGGGCTGCATAGTGAGTTCAAGGCCAGACTGTCTCACAAAGCCAAAAACAACACTGTCCTTCCTTTCCTCCTCAAGACCTTTAAGTACCTCCCTTCCTCTGAGTTACTTGCGCTCAGATTCGTGTGTTTTATGATGCACTCACTCAACACGCGTCCTGCAGCAGCCTCTGGGGCGCCGGGGCCTGCCGTGCAAGGAAGCGGCAGGTGTGAACATGACCCCCGCCACCCACGGGCCAGAGCAGCTGACCCAGGAGAATGGGCGCCTGCAGGGTGAACCTGAGAGCCGCTCGATGGGCCCAGGCTTCTTTTCTCTCCCAGGGACTGACTTCTCACCCCAGCGGCTCAGGGTCTGTTTGTCCACCTGCAAAAGCACATGCACAAAGAAAATAAAATAAACTGACCCACAGTGTCTGGGCAAAGCGTTTATATCTGCTCTTTTCCTTGTAGGTGAACTTTAATGAGCCCTTGTCCATGCTTCAGCGCCTTACTGAAGATCTGGAATACCACGAGCTGCTAGACCGAGCTGCAAAATGCGAGAACTCTCTAGAACAGCTCTGTTATGTTGCAGCTTTCACCGTGTCCTCCTACTCCACCACTGTCTTCCGTACCAGCAAGCCATTCAACCCGCTCCTCGGGGAGACCTTCGAGCTGGACCGGCTGGAGGAGAACGGGTACCGGTCCCTCTGCGAGCAGGTAAAGACGCCGCAGGAGCGCTGCTGTCCAGAGGAGGGATGGCACTGGGGCTGGTCACCAGGGGCTTCGCTCACAGAGGTGCTGGTCACCGTCCTCCCAGCGGGGTCTGCCTTGGAGGCCCAGCACTGCAGGTGGAAACAGGCCTGGGGGAAGCGGGGAAGCAGGCCGCCGCCTCCTTCCTGCCACCTTTACTTGAGCCTGGTCTCTTCCAGGTGAGTCACCATCCCCCTGCTGCCGCACACCACGCGGAGTCCAAACACGGCTGGACGCTGCGTCAGGAGATCAAGATCACCAGCAAGTTCCGAGGCAAATACCTCTCCATCATGCCTCTCGGTAAGGCCGTCTCCACCACGTCAGCGTGCCGCCGACAGGTGGTCTCTGTGGCGGAGGGGTCGCCAGTTCTGCCTTGGGGTCTGCCTCGTGCTGGCTCGGGTCGTGGTTTGTTTTCTCGGCTATCAGGAAGGAGGGGCCTACGGGCTGAGGGCCCACCCTGCCGCAGACGCTTCGTTCGCTTAGCTGCAGAGGCTAAGCTGAGAGCCCCGTTGAGAACACTGAACTCTGCGTGCAGTGTCTAAAGTTCTGTCCTCCTGGTGTTTGCTCCGTGGCCCCCGCTGCCATCCTTTGTGCCGGAGCACGTGGGATGGCAGGGTTAGGTCTCTGGCTGGCCTCTTCCCCCTCTCTCCCTCTGCCCCAAGGTTAGGTATCCTTTATGTATTGGCTGAATTCCAGGTAAGATGAAACTATTTGAAAAGATTTTGTAGGATTACAGGTTAATTTTGTGTCAAGATACAAAGATCAGGCGTGGGAACAGAAATCTGAATACATGGTGTTGAGAATAATACACAGAATCTTTGTACTTAGATCTATGTGTTTTCCTTACTTTGTGCTTTTATTGTCACATAAACTATATATTTTACACATTGTGATCTCATCATATGTAGTTTTATAGTGTTACTTTATGCAGTTTAAATCACATTAGAGAAAAAGTTGTGAGCAAACTCCCCTTACATTGTCTCCTGTAGTTTAAGTGCAGTTATTTTTGTGGTCTGGCTTTGTCTTTTCCTTCCTTTCCTTTTCTGAATGTGTGTATGTGTGGTTTCAGGGATTGAACCCAGGGACTTTGTTCTAAGCTACATCCCTAGTGCCTTTTTAATTTTTCATTTAGAAACAGGGTGTTGCAAAGTTGCCCAGGTTGGGCTTGAATTTGTGATCCTCCTGCCCCAGCCTCCTGGAGTGCTGGGTGTGAGGCATGTGTCACCGTACCTGCTTCTTCGTTTCTTGTGTGGATTTAAGTTAGTGTTTAGTGCCCTTTCATTTCAAGCTGAAAGGCTCCTTTCAGTAGTTCTCATAAGGTAATCCGCTGGTTAGGAGTCTGCGCAGCTTTTGTTGATCTGGGGAGGTCTTAATTCGCCTTTGTTTATGTAGAAATCTTGCTTTGACAGTCTTTCCCTCGCCCCACTTTGAGTATGCCATCCCGCTCCCACTCCCTTCTGGCCTCTTGAGTTTCTTTTTCTTTTGTTTTAATTGTGATAAAATACACAAGACCTAAAATTTAGCATCTTAACCATTTCAACTGCGCAGTCTGGTGTGAGCGCCTGTGTGGGGTCGGGCCGCCGTCAGCCCCGTCCAGCTCCAGGACCCTCCACTGTGTAGAACAGAAACTGCTCCCCGTTCAGCAGTGGCTCCCCGTCTGCCTCCCGCCAGACCCCGGAAGCCACCATTCTGCTTTCTGGTTCGGAGTACTCTAAGCACCTTTATAGGTGGGGTCCTGTTGTCTTTGTCTTCTTGTGACTGGCTCATTTCACTTAGCACGCTGTCTTCAGGGTGCATCCACTTCGTAAGACGGCAGAACTGCCTGCTTAAGGCCGCGCTAGACCGTTCACTGTGTGTAGAGAGCGCTGCGTGCGTGTGCGTGTGCGTGTGCGTGCACCTGCGCCTGTCAGTGCGCACTGCGTGGCTGGTCGGGACTGTGAACAGCGCTGCTCTAAGCACAGATGTATGGACGTCTGTCTCCTGGAGACCCTGCTTTCCATTCGCTCGGGTACACACCCCGAAGTGGGATTATTGGATCAACCTGGGCTACATAGTGAGTTCAAGACCAGCCAGAACTACCTAGTGAGACCTGGTCCCCAAAACCCGAAAGGAAGTAGGGAGGAATAATCCGCCTAAACCACAGTTATCGTATTGGTTTCATTAGTGGTTACAGAGGGAATTTAGAATAAAAGCGTTACTGGGATTGATTACATTATTGGCTCTGTATATAAATTTTTTGAGTAAGTTTCAGTTATCTGTGCTCAAACCACTGATTTTGGAGTGGTGCTCATTTGAGAGTAACTCAGAGGAACAAGGAAACATGCCTACTGAGTGCCTGTAATATTTGAAGTATTTCATTGGGCAAAGTACACAAGGTGTTATTTCCCAGGGCTACAAGTGACAGAACCAAGGCCGAGGGAAGCTGGACATTCCATGAATGCTTCTGACATTTAAAAAGGGTATAAGTCTTTCCATATATTGTTTTTTTTTTAAAGTAAGAAAAGCTGATAGAGGGAAACGGATGCATTGTTACTTCCAGGCTGCATGGAGCTGTCTGTCCTCACCTGTGTACCTCCGTGCTTCTAGGTACCATCCACTGCATTTTCCATGCCACTGGGCACCACTACACCTGGAAGAAAGTTACCACCACAGTGCACAACATCATCGTGGGCAAGCTGTGGATAGATCAGGTGAGGAAAGGCACCCGTGCTTCTGAACCTGGATCCCCTTCCGGGCGGATCTTCGCAGGGTGGAGGGCAGGCGCGCTGCCCCGTGTTGTCTCTGGGTCATGGTCTCGCTTGAGGACTTTCTGTCGTGCAGTCGTACTGCCTCCGTGCTCCCTAGTCCCTGTGCCACACGTATCATTTGCAAATGACCAAGTTAGGACATTTGTCAGTGACAGCTAGACTGTGTGGAGCACTGCGAAGGATAGAAGAAAGCAGTGAATGCGGCGCCCTACCTTTAAAAGGCGGACGATTGATGCCAGCTGAAGCCAGAGCACAGTCCCTACCTTTAATACTGTCGCTACTCATCAGATACTTACTGCCTGCCAGTAGCTCGGTGCCGGGGCTGCAGAGCCAGATGAGACGTCCTCCAGAGGCTCTGTGTTGTTGAAGATAGTGACAGACACATGGGTGGAGACGCGCATGACAGTGCACCAGCACAGGAGACGTGCTAGGGCCACCCTCAGTCCTGAGCTCGCTGCTGAGACGGGGGATGCAGCGTTCAGAGAAGAGTGCCGTCTTCCGCGTGGTCAGGAAGACGAGTTAAGCTGAGTCTTAAGAGTGGAGGATCGTTGCGAGTATGAGACCAGCCCGGGCTACAAAATGAGCTCAAGGCCAGCCTGAACTGCATAGCGAGACCCTGTCTCAAAAAGACCAAAAAAAGAGAATACTTTGATTTCAGCAGACTGTAAAGGGCTTGGTTTGGAAGGGTAGGCTGTGAAGTGAATTTCAGCGTTTGTGTGGAAGATCAAACCAGGCCACCCAGCACGGGACAGAGTACAGCAAGTGGTCATTGGGTCTTGCTGTCAGCCGGGAACCCCAGGGTTGCAGAGGGGCACTCCAGAGCATGTCAAGGTTGCCTGAGATCAGGATCTTGAGCAAGGGAGTGCTGGCGTGTACGGCTGACGAATGAAGCCTAGGAGGTGTGGGTTTCAGCCATCTGGGCTTCACAAAGCTAATCCGTGGTTCTTTTCATTTTGCAGTCTGGTGAAATTGATATTGTAAATCACAAGACAGGAGACAAGTGTAATCTTAAATTTGTTCCTTATAGCTACTTCTCTCGGGACGTAGCAAGAAAGGTAAGCTGGAAATTTCAGTTCTGTTCGCTTACCGTGTATCCCTCGGGGCTGGTGGGTCTGTGTGCACGACACGCGTGCATGGATGGGTCGACATGCTAAGTGCAGTGATTCATACAAACAAGACCGTCACACAGCGCACAGGTAGAGCGACCTCCTAGATATGCCGAGTCAGAAACACAAGACCACCTCTGGAAGAAGCAGACTGTATGATGCTGCGTTAGCGACCTAGTTTCTTCTCTTGGGTGACAAGTGGGAAGTAAAAGTCAAGAGCCTTGTATAAAAGAATACCAGGCAGTTGCTTTTTCTGTTTGTATCCTTGCATCAACAATCCCAACAGCCAGCAGTGCATGCTTGTAGTAATAGCAGTCTGGGAGGCTGAGGCAGGTGGATTGCAAGTTTGAGCCCAGCCTAAGTGATTTAGTGGGTTCTGTCTTGAAATAACAAGTAAAAGCCTGGCGATGCAGCTCAGAGTGAAGGCCCTGGGTTCAGCCCTGCTACCAAAACCTCTACAGCAGAAGGGGTGAAGGGCCACGCCATGGCTGGGTTACCGCCGTGACAGAATCTGGCTGCCTCCTTCCTGGCCAGTAGCAGGGCTGAACCAGCGCCCTCCCAGACCCCCGCGCTGCTCCTGAGTCTTGCTCTCTGACATTGCAGGTGACAGGGGAAGTGACCGATCCATCAGGAAAAGTCCACTTTGCCCTTTTGGGGACCTGGGATGAGAAAATGGATTGTTTCAAAGTACAGCCAGCTGCGGGCGAGAATGGGGGTGACGCCCGGCAGAGAGGCCACGAAGCCGAGGAGAGCAAGGTCATGCTGTGGAAACGGAACCCCCTGCCGTGAGTCCCAGGGCGGCCCTACCAGGGGCAGTGGCCTTGCCTGAGCAGGGCGAAGGACTGAGGAGCAGACAGGGAAACGGGACCTGTGGGGAGGTGGCCGGGCCATCGTGTTGCCCTGTGGGAAGCTCAGTCCAGCCAGACTACGTGGGCTGCAGAGTGTCTGTCCTCCGTGGAGGCCCGCTGGGCTGTGACCCCTGAGAATTGCTCCCTGCCGCTGAGAGCAGAGGAACTGAAGCAAGCAGAAGGGAAGGTGCCGGCCACCTGCAGACAGTTGGGCCGAAAGGCTCACACACTGTGGAGGACTTCGGGGACTAGATAGGGGCCGTGGTGCCGTTGGCCTGCAGGGGCGGCCCGGTCATCCGGCCGGGGTTAGAGGGCACACGCCGGAGACGGCCTCCAGGAGTTGCCAGGGCGGCTGCAGACCCTGGGCGCTGCAGGGCGGCCGCTCACTGCGGCTCTCTCCCTCTCCGGGGCCGGCCCGGCGTCACCCTCTCTCTTTCTCATCCTTCACTCTAGGAAGAATGCAGAAAACATGTACTACTTTTCAGAGCTCGCGCTCACCCTCAACGCCTGGGAAGCGGGCACGGCGCCCACAGACAGCCGGCTGCGGCCTGACCAGAGGCTGATGGAGAACGGGCGCTGGGACGAGGCCAACGCCGAGAAGCAGCGCCTGGAGGAGAAGCAGCGGCTGTCGCGGAAGAAGCGCGAGGCGGAGGCCGCGAAGGCCACGGAGGATGGTAGGGCCGCGCCTGCCTGCCTTCCCCTGCCTCCTGCGGTGCGGTGCGGTGCGGTGCTGGCTCTGACCCGCTTCTCTCCCCTGCAGGCGTGCCGCATGACCCCTACAAGGCGCTGTGGTTTGAGCGCAGGAAGGACCCGGTCACCAAGGAGCTCACCCACATCTACAGGGGCGAGTACTGGGAGTGCAAGGAGAAGCAGGACTGGAGCGCGTGCCCGGACATCTTCTGACCGCCCGAGGGGCCCACAGAGTGGACGGAGGAGAGGACGGCACGGCGGGGAGCTGTCACCGGCCTCCCTCAGGTTTGTCTTCTTAACCAATCACTTCGTCCAAATCAATCACCCAAGCCGCGGTGGTGATTGGCTGGTGGCCTTAGATGACTGACTCAAGTCCACGCCCGGATGCCGTGCTTGCGAGGGAGGTTCCCACCTGCAGTCCGGTCCGCTCCCTTCCTCCCGGCAGTGGCCTCGGCCGCCCCTTGTCGCAGCCTGTTCGGCCAGGGTCTGCGGAAGATTGGGATTCGCAGGCGTTTTGGTGCTGTCCAGAGCAAGAACTGATTTGCAAATACCTTGAGAAAGACACGAGGACTGAAACTATGAGGCGCTGAGAGCAGCTGCTTGGGTCACATCGACAAGGGTGCGCCCCCGGCCCGCTCCTGGGCGGGCGCTGAGCTGTCCAGCACCTGGAGACGGTGGGGCTGGAAGGTTCGGTCCCACTCTCGGAGCTTTCCGCCCGCCTGCTCTTCGTCAGCGTTCCGGCAGCAGCTGGTGGCCACCGCTGTGGCTGCTGAGCGGGCTGCGTGCGCTCCCTGGGCCCTGGAGAGTGGAAGGCGCCGGCGAGCTCCTCCCGGCCCGCCTCGCCCTTCGCTCCTCCCTGCACAGCGCCGTCTGCGCCCCGCTGGGCTGCGCTGCCTGTCCTGTCCCGGTGTCCTTCAGGATTGGAGAGAACTCCACTGAACCAATGTTTCCACCATCTCCCAAGCCCCACGGACTGGAGCCGCCTCTGGAATAATGTGTTAATACCTGTATATTATATATATGTAGAGAAAAATCTAATTTTTTGTTTGGTCCCCTGCTTCCCGTTAAGAGTCTTGGTTTTGATAGCCTGATCTCCCGGGATTCTGGCCGTGTGAATGTGGAGGGCCCGGTCGGATGCGAGTGTCACGTCCGGCTGGTACCGAGCAGGACCTCGTCCGCAGTCTGTAGCCTGGGCCGCCCCAGCTGCCGAAGTTCTGCCCCTCCTGGTTCGCCCACTCAGATGAAATCCCACCTTCCCTCCTGCCTCTTCTCGCCTGTTAGGAAGAATGTAGGGAGAGAGTTGGAGGGTGATTGCCAGCAGCAGGCTGAAGCCCAGAGGACTCCTTCCTCGGAGGTGGGCGGGTCGCAGAGCCGCCCTGCTGGGCCCTGGCTTCCTTCCTTCCCTTGCGGTGTGTGTTGTAGTTTGTTCAGAAGTCGCCCCCAGGCGACCCGCCCTGGGTTGAGGGTCACAAATTGAGGTGCCTTCCTTGTATGCTTTTTGTTAGTGTTTTTTGTTTTTGTTCCTTGACTGCTGAGCCTCAGCCAGTGTGCGTCCAGGGAAATCTATCATTCCAGAGGAAGCCACCCCTCCAGGGAAGTCAGATCTGACTGGGTAAATAGTACTTGCCCTCCTTCCGCGCTCCGGCCACGATGAACAGGAGGAAAGGGTGATGTCGGGAGTTTCTCCCGAGATCCCTCCCCCAGCACAAGCTAGGGCTGATGTCGGGGCCCCCTTGGGGGCCTCGGGCGGAGCGGAGCCCCTGCTGCACGCCCGCTTTCTTCCTCACCGTCTGCACTACATTTCTGCCACCCCCGCCCCTGCTAATGGAAGAAGCATAGCGCCTTCAGGTGGAATAAAGTCACATCAAACAGAACTATATATATTTTCAGTTTTCTGCCTTATTGCTTTTTTTTTTTTTTTTTCAAAAAAACTACTAAATTAAATAATTTTTAAAAAGCAATATTACCTGTTTGATTTGCTTCTGTTTGGCTAGGCAGGAGGTGGTGTGGACGGGAGGAGAGCGGCCCGTTGGCAGTGTGTTCTGCTTGGGAGTCTGGGAGCCCTAGAGCCCTGGTCTTTGTAAACAGCTGATAGAGAAATCTGGTATTTCAGCTCTACGAACATGGTGAGCCAAGGAGGAGTGGTTTTTTTTGGATTTTTTTTGTTGTTTGCTCTTTTTGAGATGGTTTCACTTACACAGTTCAGGCTGGCCTCAAACTCACTTTGTGGCTCAGGCTGATTTCAGCTCTCCGTGATCCTCCAGCCTCAGCCTCCCGAGTGCGGAGATCGAGGTGTGCTTCTCCCTGCCCGGCTCGCAGGAGGATCTCTGACAGCCCCGGTGCATCAGCGTGCGGTGTTTCTCCATGCTTCATTTTGGTATTGACAAATAATGGTCAGTGTTTTTGATTCTGGGCCCTGCTTTACCTCAGAAATAAAAAGTAGGAGCAGGAGGGTAGCTAGGTGCAGGTTGCTTGCCTAGTATGTGCCAGGCCCTGGGTTCATCCCTTCTCATGCAAAAAAAGCAGTTTTGTTGAATGCAATTTCTCTTGCCCATTTAGATTCTCAGACTCTTTTTTTCATAAGGCTCCATACCCTGCTCTGCAACATAAGCAGCTGATTTTGACTGAAGACTTTCAGGAAGGGTCATGACCTTGAGCACACCTCGTCTGCCTTTTCTCTGAAGGTCATGTTCGGGGAGGGGTGGGCTCGGTAACCAGGCTGGGGAGCGCTGGGACCAGAGCAGGAGAGGCGGATTCCCGCCGTGCTGCTTGCTGGCCTCCTGTCTGTCTGCACATCTGGGCCGCCTGCAGGGAGCCAAGACAGGAGTGCTGCTTGGAGTGTGTTGCGCATTATACATGGTTTTTTTTTGTTTGTTTGTTTTCTGGTACCAGCAATGGAACTCACGACCTTGCCCTTGCCAGGCAGGCGCTGTGCCGCTGAGCTAAATCCCCAGCCTCAGGGCGCTGTACACGTTTTCAGAGGATACAGGCAACCGGGCAGGAAGAGCACTCGAGGTCCCGTGGCTGGAGAGCCACAGAGCTGGCGTCACAGCCGAGGCCCAGCAGGCAGACCTCCGACCGCGTCCTGGGAGGGTGGTGCTGTGTCCCTGCAGCAGGCTGAACGGGCACTTCTGTCGGGCTGACCGTGCGGTTCTTTGCAGCTGGGCGGAAGAAAGGCGCGTTCTGGACATCCAGCCACCACGATCCTTGATTGATGGGGGATCATGAGGGCTGTGTCCACAAAACTAATCTTGTCTTTTTTCTAGCCTGGCTCTTGGGAAGGCAGCTTCTCTGTTCGATTTGCCTGGCCCCTAAATTTCACTGAAGTTTTTCCCCTTGTAAGATAAAAGCCACCCCAGTAGACGCTTGACACAGAGCCGTGTCTCACGATCGTGAGTGCCGCCGAGGCATGTCGTTTCCTGTGTGTGGTGGGCACATGGAGGCAGAGCCTTGCACGCCCCTTCCTGCGTCCTCTGATGTGACCAGCTAGAAGTGAGTCCTGAGGGTCTCACTGCCCCATCATGCAGAAGGGTGATTCCTCAAAGTTGTGAATTATGACACTCTTCGGGGACCTCAGGTCTCACACAAACAAGTATGCATTGTCACAGCGCTGCTCTGTGCTCACCAAAGTGAGACCCAGAGGGATGCGTAGGAAAAACTGAACTTCAGGAGTAGGTGTGTACCTTGCAAAACTCTTAAGCGTTACCAAAGTGAGCACTCATCTAAACGTTGGTAAAGCTGTTCCTCTGTGGCGCCTTCGGTCCCGGCTCTGCCCCGGGAGCTCGCTGAGCCTGTGCGCTGCTTTCCTGTCTGGAGATTAAGCAGTGAAACGGCTCGGGCTCTCTCCAGTGCCCCTGCTGTGCAAGCTGCTCCTTCCTCGGAGGCCAGAGGAGGCCTCTTTCAAAGGCCGGAAACCCAGGTGCTCAGAGTCCACAGCCCAGCAGAGTCTCATCCTCTGAGCCTGACTATGTGACTTCAGAAGTTACTAAGAACATGTGCCTGAGACGTGGCTGTGAGTGTTTTCATTCACTCTGCATTCATTCATCCATCCATCCATCCCACATTTACCTGATATATAACTTAGCCTTTTCTATAACAGTCTGTGGGTGCAGATGGCAAAAAGAGCATAAACAGGCAGCTGCAATCCAGTTTGATAAATGGTGTAAAAGCCGGCTGTAGTGCCGCATTCCTGTAATCCCAGCACTTGGGAGGCTGAGGCAGGAGAATCGTTTGGAATTCAAAACCATACTGTCTTTGATTGATCAATCTTACATTCTTATATCTGGTGGACTAAGCAACTTCGTTGAAGATAACAGTATGTAATGTAGCAACGATTGTTAATTCCTATCATTTCGTTTTGAGGGCATGTATCATTTTTTGCTTTTGTCTTTATTGTTGTTTTTTTAGTTTTTTTTTTTTTTACTCTTTTTAAAAAAAAAAAAGACCAGCCTTGATTACAAAGTAAGCTCAAAGCCAACCTAAACATAGTGAGAGCCTGTCTTAAAACTAAAAAACTAAAATCTAAAAAAAATACATGGTATAGAAGCAGGAGGGCAGAGGAAACGTGAGGGAGTAGCTGAGGGTCCTGGGTCCAGCAGGGATTAGGGATGGGCAAAGTAAAAAATGCTGCATGTACAAAATAAAAAGTGAGGTTGAAAAAAGCGTCCTGAATTTGGATGACTGCCGGAGTGGTCAGTGTTTGCGGTCCATGGGAGACAAGGAGAGCTGTGCTGGAGAAAGGCAGGGCCCAAGCTATTGGGAGTGTTCCTCATACACCTCATAAAGGAGCCTTGGAGTTTTGGCAGGAAGATGGTTCCAGTGTGGAAGACCATTTGTAGCCTGGAAGGCCAATTGAGAGGCTGGAGAAGACAGTAGAGGTATGTTGGTTTCGGGGATATTTTGCAAGGGGAACAATATAATACTGGACACGTATTTTATAAGGTCATTTATATTAGTCACCCGAAGAATGATACACAAGAGTGCAGGAAATCTGTCCACACACCAAGACCAAGGAATCCAGCTGAGGGTCTGGGTCCCTCGGAAATGTCTTGCATGAGTCCAGCTGAAGACCCAGAGCTCGTAACAATGCCTCCCACGTGTCCACCTGGAGGCCCAGAGCCCATAGCGACATTTCATGCAGGCCTGTTTCACGATCTACGCTGGGAAGGCCCAAAGGTCAGTGGTGAAAGCTAGAAAGTCTGCCAGTGGTATGAAGGATCTGTGCTAGCAGACAGG